AGACGGACGCGCCAGGGTGACCGCCTCACCTGGGCCCAGGGAAGCCAGGAGCCCAGCCCCGCGTTCTCCCAGGCCTCGCCCCGCTCTCTTCCCTTGAGAAGCCAGATTGGAATGGCTGCTTTTGATCCCATTTGTTACTAACCCCGGCATTTGTTTTCCATTTTATAAACGCTTCCCTTTAAGTAATTGTCCCTGTTAACAGCGTATACCTTTCAACAGCCCTCACTGCGCTATAAATAATCTCGATGAAGATGCAAGGATATGACTTTCACAAGATTGGACAATTGATTCAATCTGTGACCCGCGATCGCGAATAATATTGGAAGGCTATTTAAACAGATGAAGGCCTAAATTGTCTTGCTTGTATCTGAATTAATTTCTCATTCATCATCATTATGAAGTGATTGGTCTATTCAAGCTCTTCAGCCTGGTGGAACCGAGCAGGATTTAAATGAGATTGTAACACAATTTAAATGCTTGCCGACTTTAACGAGGCCAATTGAGCAGCTGCAATAAATACAAATATTTTTCTAAACAGCCTTGTTTTAAATAATTACTTACTGCTTTCATGTTATTTTTAAGTGGCAATCTTTCTCTCTCTCCTGTTCCTGCTCAGAATATCACGTACTTATTTGCTGAGAAGGCAATTTTGGAAATGAGTCGATGTTTCTGTTTGCTTTGTAGATGGTAGGATGTGTTTGGGGGTTGGTTTTTGTTTTGTTTTCTTCCTCAGGGTCAGGATTTCTGGGTCCACAAGCTGGCACTAATGGTGAGCTGGGCCTGAGCTGGGCCCTGATGCGGTCTGATGTGCCACCCTGGCTGAGCTGGGGAAGGGCTGAGTGATGGGAGACATTTGCCGTTTGAATCTGGTCACTTATCCAGTCTCGTTTTTTTAGCTGGGTTCTGCAAACGAATCCGTAGGATTGCACTTTCAAATGACACCCCGAAGAGTGGCATCAGTTCTGATTCATCCTGATGACCATCATCATCTTGAACAAATCAGAATTCCAGAGTACCCCATAGGTGTCCCTTAGGAAATTCAATCTGCGAGCAGTTTGGCTCTCCTGCAAGCGGACAGGGAGCTGGCAGAAGCTGGCTGAGGATTTCTTTGTTAGGGAACCAGTACAGACAGTAAACTTGGCCACCGCGAATGGTTTGGGGTGGCGAGGAGGCCATGGGGAAAAGAAATCCTAGTTTTATTTATTATTTTTTATTGTTTTTATTTTTACCCAACCTCCTGTCCTTCCTCCCTCCACCCCTGATTTCTACTCCTCTTTCTGCATTCTAGGGTGATCAGACAGAGCGGATGCTTCTCACTTGGAGAATGCTGTCTGTCTGGACATCTTCAATAACCGTCCACCATGACACCCATGCTCCCCAGTGGACATATGGCAGCGGGTGTTTCCTGAATTGGAGAATAATGGAAGCAACCAAGCAGGAAAAGCCTGAGGAACAAAAGAATCTTTTAAACTTTTGTGAAAAGTCTGGGATTGGGGGTGGAGGGACACACCGACACTGCAGGACCCATGCTCCTATTTGAGGTGACTTCCCTGAGAGACCTAGGGTGAGAGGGTACAGTCTGAGTCACTTCTCCCTCCACCTTGGTTGGGGTAGAGTGGGGGCACTCTGTACCTGGGATGTGCAGAGCCAGTATTGTCAGCAGAGAAACCATTCCTGGAGCGTATGACATTGGAGAACACAAACTTCCCCCAAAATGAGGACTAGGGTGGAGGAATCAAGTGATTTGCTATTTAACTGGGCAATTGAATGTCAGAATTAGGGAGCTGCTGGCCAGAATCATTTCGTCTTCGCAGCTCTGCGGAGCTCATCCTCTTTATCCTGTTGTTTAAAATGAGCATTACCCCAAACATATGCAATGCAATCAGTTTGGTCACACTTACAAGAACACGCTTTAATAAGGCAATCAATCACATGCTAACAAGCCAGCGACGGCCTGGCCGTCACACACTGGGGCTGAGGACAGCTAGTCTTGCCATGCTGGGGAAACCCAGGATGGGCACTGCACTGTACTTCCAGGTCCCTCCAGATGGGCCCAAAGGGCAGTAGCACAAGAAAGTGCGAGTCAAGAGTGAGGTATCAGACTCCACTAGGAGTGAGTTCCAAAGCAGGGCAGGGAGGAGGGAGCAGGGGCATGGAACTCATAGCTGCATCACTCTAATAACCCTGGGAGACCAGGGCCTCCATTTCCCCACCTGCAAAATGGGATCCAGAAGAAACCACACTGAGTGGAGGTGCACAGAAAGTTGAAGAACAAAAACAATACCATGTCAGGCCCCAGTCTAGCCTTCTTCTTTTGCAGATGAAGAAGAGTGCCTCTTTCTTCATAGTCATTTCCCACTCTCCACCCTCCTATCAAAATTGGGCCCTTCGGGCCAGATGGGGTTACCTGGTACAGATGTACAGGGTATTCTGGGGAGGAGTTGGGAGGAAGTTAAGTGGTGCCTAGCACCAAACCACAAACCTTGGCAAAAGGGAAATTTCATTATGAAGTAATGAGTAATTCCTCCTGGCAAGATGTATTGTTATATCTTCCACTTCAATTTGGAGGAAGAGAGGCTCAATTACCCAGAAAATACAGTCAATTAAAGGCTGCTGATTGGACACGAGGCCGGATCATCGATCTTGTACTTTCCAATATCGCTGCAGACACCTCATTTTCCCTCCCTATTAACTGAAAATACGCCTGGCATTAAGGCAACCCGCAGCCCATTTACCTGTCGCAAGCAATCTCTGCCCGATGCGGAGCTACCGAGAAATTTGCCGGGATCTGGCACTTCAGAGCTTCTGGCTGCAGTTGGAACAGCGGGCTTGTGGGGCAGGGTAGGGTGCTGAGAAACCTCAGCACAAAGCTTTGCTTGGAAGGAAAGGGCCACTCTGGGCAGAGGGTTTGCTCTAGAACACAAGGAGGAGAGCCGCTAAGGCGACACAGTCAGAGGCCCTCAGTGTCCATGCAACCCAGAGCACCCTCGCTTCCCTGAAAGCACCCATCTTTCTCCTGCTCCAGTGGGACTTTAGACATAGCACGAGGGAGAGGAGGTGAGGATGATTCACAATGGGAGACCCCCAACCCAGGATCTTTTCCCCACCTTCAAATGCAGAACCAGCTGAACCAAAAACCCCAGCTCTCTGCAGCACTCAAACTCCACTGCCACCAGCCCCCTGGCCTCCACCTAGGGTTGGGGTGGAGGGAGGTCACCCAGCCAATACCGCCCAGGGTGCCCTTTCCTCATGGATCTATAGGAACTGAAGAGGGCACAGTCACAGGAAAGAGGGAGCCCCAGGTGACAGCATCCTGCCTGGCCGGATTACTCACAGAGGGCTCCCAGCAATATTGAAATGAAGAGAACACGCCTTGCAGGCTCAGGGCCAGCCTCCGCCACCTCTGGGCAGTGTCTGTTTGGAGCCTGCCAATGCCCAACAGAGACCTGGGAGACTGTCTGTGTGTCCATCTTCTGGTTCCTTCCCTACCCAGCCCCATGGTAGCTGAACTAGCTGTTAGAAAGAGTCAACATGCTCACCTGCTATCAAAAAAAATAATAAAATGAAAAATTATAAAGCTAGTGAGAATTATTTCCAGCTTTTATTGCAATATGGTTAACAAATCATAACAGCAAATTCTTTGGGCTTCAAAGGAACATCCCAAACCAAACCAAATTCATTACCTAAAGGAAGAACCACTCCCTCCCCGTCTTTGTGGAGCTTGTACTGGGGGAGGGGGGTACAAGTTCATCTCTTCCTCAAAAACTGGCTGCAAGATGAGTGTGGGAGTGAGGGTTTGGGAGTGACTCCCACAACAAATCCTGGTGAATGGGAGAGACAGGGTCCCCCGAAGGGACAGAAGGCTCCCGCTGGTATCTTCAAGTCAAACCCCACTGGGCAGCTTGGGAGGATGCAAAATGCCAAATGCAAAGGGAAGGGCCAGAAAGCTCCTTGTGAAGTGAAGGTGAACAGGCACAGGATGGAAATAGCCTCTAATTTGCTGCTGGATACCGAGAGAGAGGGAGGTAAGATCCCCACTCCCTAAGCTCTTCCCTGGGCGCCTTGTTAACAGCTCAGCTCTGGGCTCCTTGGCCAGCCTGGTAGTGATCATTATTATACATTCAACATTCAAAAACCCTCTGCACACACATCACTTGCTAATCAGGGTGTGTGCTGGGCCCAGGGAGAAGAGACTTGGCCTCATAGAAGCTGCTGAGAGGGGGGTCTGCAGCCTCCCTGCCAGCATCAGACAAAAAGTGGAGAGTGAGGGATGGGTGGGGGTGGGTGAAGTGGCAAGTTAAGAGATGCCACAAAGCTGGGAATGGAGAGAGATCTCAGGGGCTGGTAGATGCCAGAACCAGAAGATGCTGTGTAACTGAGGGCCCAGGAAGGTGAGCGCTCACAGGTGCCATGCCAAGGGGCCCGATTCTCCCTGGCAGTAAATCATCTCTCTCACTCGCTCCCCGAAATGGCTGATGCCTTGCCATCCACAAGCCCCTCGCCAGGCCTTGCAAAGCTGGCAAAGATTAATCTCTAACTGTTCTGCATACACAGCATTTTGTTCAGAAAGACAGCGATGCCCCCCTTCCAGTGTTTGGGCTTGTCCTTGGCAGGGAAGAGGAGGCTAGGAGCAAAGGGGGTGTGAGATGCCGGTCTTGGGAGACAAAGGCCGGATATCGGATGCTGTTGTGCTAAGTTCTGTCTAGCTTTGGAGCCACCATTTCAAACTCGGTAGGGGTTGTGGGTTCGGTGAAGAATGACAGCGAGGCCGCCCTAGAGGAAGGTCTCTCAACCTCTGCTCCCCGACCCCCACTCCTGTTCCCCAAACGTGCCAGCTGGGCAGCTCCCTGGGCGTCCCAATCCTCAAGGCTGAGTCCCGCTGGTCCTTGGCAGCCCTCTCCTTCCCCCTGGGTGTCCTCCTGGAGGGCGGAGGGGCACTGGCTGAGTCCCCGGGGGGGCCCCCACGGGCGTCCTGGAGTCGGCAGCCCGCGGGCGGCCCCTTATCTGGTGAGGGGCACCTCCTCCCTCTGGTCCAGCGCGACGGAGGAGGCCTTGCTGAGCACGGAGGGCGCGAAGGTGAGGAAGGAGTCCGAGCGGGAGGTGGAGGCACAGGTGAAGTCCGAGGCGGCGGCAGCCCGGGGCGCCAGCCCGTTGGCTGGGCCACTGTGGCAGGCGAGGCAGGAGCAGGGGCCGC